ATGACCTCTCCATCACTTTGTTCTTGGTCAAGAGTTGCCTGGGTTTGAGTGGGGAGGTGTATGCTGCAATGTTATCAGAACCCTTAACCTTTGAAGTATCCATTGTCTTTAGCCATTTCTTGATATTAGGTAGAATTGATTAATTTGATTAAAGACTGACATCTGCGATGCTGGGGACCTCAGGAGCAGGCCAAGTTGGGTCATCCACTCAACACTTCTGACTGAAAATATGCAAATTCTTAAAAGTGAGGACAAGGGGAGCCCTGACATGCCTCTAAGAAAGAGGGAAAGAGATGAGAGATGAGGTGTGTGAAAATGACTGAACACTTTGGAGGAGTTTGTCAACCATACTGGGTGGGAAGCCTCACTTGAGGAAAATGGACAACGTATCGTAAGCACTAGTGTGGAACATAGCATCATCAGAATATGGAGTCAGAGAAACACTAAGAATGGAATTCAGTCTCTACAGAAAGAGGAGTGTGAGGAACTGTAGTCGAGGTAGCTATGTGAGTCCTTGGGTTTCCTAATGATGTGCACTAAAAATCCAACTCCAGAAATGGAGACCAAGAAGTCTAGGAAAGGAAGACTCAGAGATAGACCAAACGAAGGTGAGGGCAGAATGAAAATTGGTAACTGGTCTTTTTTTTTTCTCAGTTCCTGGCAGTAGCAGAAGGTGGCAAAGATACAGTCATCGTTTGCCAGTAAAAATGATGATGAGTGGTGCCTGAGTGAAGTGAAACAATGGATGTTCCACATATTCCACAGAGAGGCAAGCATTACTGGGAATCATATAGGTATAACAGCAGCACCTGCCATTTGGAGGAGTGGGCAGAGTTAAGAGAGAAGTTATTCAGACTGAGAGCAAACCCTGCCTGACGGAGGGATGTGGCATTGGACAGGGACTTGTTAAGTCTCCATTTGAGAAGGAAGCAGAAAGTTCTGAGATGATCCCATGGGGAGTCAGAGACATAAAGGGATTGGACATCCCTTATGAAGAAGATGCATTTGAGACCAGGACACTGGAAACTGTTGAATTGATAGAGGGCATCAAAATAATTGTCAATGTACATCAGAAGAAACTGTACAAGGAGAGAATTAAATTAAATCAAGATAGGACAATGTATGTTCTATGGGACAGTATTAGGTTGAACTAATAGTCTGAATATTGCCTACCGCTGCAGGGGGTGAATTTAGTGAGGCAATGGATTGGCTTGTCAACTAGGACTGTTGCCCAGCTCAGTACCTTCCCACCTACTCCTGATCTCAACTAATAAAATGGGCACTGAAATTAACAGCTGCCCAATAACTGCAGATAAATAATCAAGGGTCAATAGAGGTTGTAGACGTGCTAGCCGAGCCGGTGTGTTTGATAGCAAGGTGACAAAACATCTGCAAGGTAACATCGTCAGTGCACCTCCGGTGAAGTGTTGGTGTTCTGTCCTGCTTGTTATTTATATGCCTCGGTTTGCTGGGGTGGTTGGCATCACTTACGGTTTGGTTTTTCAGTGGTTTGTATATCGGGTCCAATTCAATGTGTTTGTTAATGGAGTTCTGGTTGAAATGCCAGGCCTCCAGGAATTCCCTGGCATGTCTCTGTTTGACTGCTGTTATGGATGTGTTGTCCCAATCGACTGGGACTACACATCTGTTAGCTCAATCAACCTCAATATGACACTGTGTCAATGCCATGAAACAATAGTACCTTCAGAAGGATGCCCAATGGATCAACCATGGCAGTCCTCTTTATGGATTTTGGGAAAGAGGTAAAAGCAAGCTGTGCAATTGGATGCAGCAAATGGAAGATCTCCAGAAAATATAAGGTTAGTGATGGTCCTGGATATTCTGGCTTGAGTTTGGTATTGGAGTCACAGCCCAGAGGGAGGTAAGAGAAAGTTGATTTTCAGCCCCTACCAGGTAGATCTCGGTACAACAGACAACAGCCGTGCCACCCCTGAAAAGCGGGTTTGATGCTTATGCTATGATTGGACCCAAGAGAACAGGTTGCAGCAAGTTCTATGTGAGAGGAACAGAGAAACTGACGTGGTCAATGTTTGTTTATATTGGAGGTTCTCAATGAAAACATCTGGAGACAGTTAGCAGCCATTGGGAAAGGTACAGGTGCATGGAAAATTTTGGAGATAGATGAAGGGTTCTGTTAAGCAGGGGAAGGATGCCTGGTCAAAGAAGTGGGTATGGAGGTAGATGCAATGGAAGAAGAGCTCAGCATCATGCAATCAAGGTGTAAATGAGGTGGTGAAGCTGAAGTGAGAGGGTGGGGTCGGATAAAAGGAAAGGGAAGGAAGGACCTGGATGGGTTTCAGTACTTACAAGTTGGTGGAGCTTCTGATCCTTCGCACCTGAAAGGAAGATACTCTTTTATTAAAGTGCCAGGTGAAGTGAGGCATGAAATGAAAGCGTGGATCAGGACAGCTTTATGATAGAATGAATCATTGTTCTTAGAGAGGCATTGGGAGTGTACATGTGACATTAAAAGTACATCTTCAGATGTAATGAGAAGAACAGTTTGGAATAAGATGAAGCAGGAGAGAAAGGAAATGAGTCTTTAGAAACAAGTTGTGTTTGACTAGATATCCGAAAACAAAAAGGGAGGAAGTAGAAAGCAAAGGTGAATAAGCTAGAAAGGCCAAATGGAAATTCCAGCTGGGAGAAGAATATAACTGCTTCAAGGTAGGCATTCCTGGAAGAGTCATGGCAGTTAATTAAACACATACTAACAGTAAGTACTCCAGATGATGGAAATTGGAAATAAAATTAAAGGAAAAGCTTGGAAAACTCAGCCTGCCTCTGATTTAGAAGGTCCAGGTTTGAGTCCAGGACTAGAAGGCTAAGCAACAAAAACAGAAGTTGCTGGAAAAGTTCAGTAGATCTGGCAGGTTAAGGACGTTGCATTCATAACTCAGCCAGAATGTGAAAAGAAATAAGAGAGGGAATTCCTGGTCAGCTACAGGCTGCAGTATACATGTGAGTGAACTGTAACACACCACCAATTCACTTTCATCACCAAGATCTGTGTGCAGCTCTTCATATTTTTCCACCTCACCTGCCTTGATTAAACCCCATCCAAATCTATTTGGCGAATTTAGCCGTTGATGAATAACAGTGAGTGAAGCAGAGGTCACTGAAAAGACATGTTTGCTATCAAGTTACATGTCGGGAATGTGATTTAAAATGCTAATAAAATTCCCCAAATCCAGAGTAATGATAACTGTTTAAATTATTGTCACCCTTCAGAACAATACAAATAGAGTGCTACATTATTGGATAAGATGTATCTGCCCTCAGGTGGTCATAAAAAATGACAGGTCCTGATTTTGACGAACAGGGAACCTTCCACCATCACACCTAATATCTAAATCAATGTCCATCTTACAGCCAATATTATTATTAAAGACATTTAGACGTCATGTTGTTTATGGAACTTTTCTATATGCAAAATTGGCAGCTGAGATTTTACATAACAGCATTAAGCGTAAGGTGCTTTTGGATGTCCTGAGATTGTGAAAGATGCTGTTAAACATGCAAGAGTTTATTTCTTTGAAATAATGGCTTTGATTGTAGGCTTCATTTACAAGTTTATTTTTATTTATATTTTGCTTTGAATGTTCAGTTTTCCTGAGTTTGCTGAGATTAGCCTTGCTGGACTTCTCATCTGATTCTGCCACAAATCTCGTCATAGCTGACTCAGGTCCTATAAGATGCCAGCAACTGTTCAGGTCATGGACCTTTCTTCAGATGATTCTTCAAAGGTTCTGAAAGAAAAGTCATGAAATCTTGGGTGGGATTTTTACTTGCCCCGTCAACCAAAGAGTTGATGGATGGCCCATCTCTGCCAATACTGGTTGCCACGTATTCAAATAATATTACAAAGGCCTTGAAATTGCCTAAGATCAAGTCTGCTGTCCCCATTGGAAAGGATGGTTTGCCCTAGAGAGCTATCATACAATCTGATTGGCTGGCAGCCCTCTAGTCACAGTCGTGTCTGGTAATCTGATACTCATCAATGTGACTACAGTCAGTTCATAAAGAAGGGGTGGTTATGGATGCCCCCAATGTCAGGATTGTTCAGGGTATTGGTGGGGCTCAGCTGGCAGGCCCCAGGGACAGGAATGGGTACAAGAGGCCGAGCGTGGACAGTTAAAGGAGGATATGACCATGTTGGGAAGTTGAGAATGGGATCCTCCAAAGGATCCCCAAAAAAATGATTCTCACCCAGCGCCTCCCCCGTCCTGCACCTCGCCTGCCACTGGCCTTTGCAGTAAAAGTTGCTATGGCATCAGTCTTCTCCTGCCATAGGTAATATAATGACAGGACAGTATGTAAATATTTGTTCGCTAACCAACTTTCTCTCTTCTCAGATACTGGAGGACCTTCTGAGTATTTCCAAAATTTTCTGTTTTTATTTCATATTTCCAGCATCTACAGTATTTTGTCTTTGCTTTCAGTTACTGACTTTCTGTCTCTTCCTGTGCTGCCAGTCTTACCATTGGTGAGGATTAGCAGCTAGTGTTTTAGGTTTAATGGGACTATTTCCAACCTCTGCACAAACATCTTGATGGCTGATTGTGATTTTGTTTCATATAATCTTCTTGATTTTTGCCATGACTTATACATAGTTTCTCACAAAACATGCCAGGACACAATTATACATTTTTATTATATACTCTTCGGCATTTTTCTTCTTAGTGGTTTCATTTTATTTTTGAAATCATGGCTTCCCATCATCTGTAACATGATCCTGAAGAATATGGTTATTTGTTTTTAAACTGGTGATAAACAAAGAAACTGTTCAAATCGTGTATTATAATCTTATTGTGGGAAGCAACTAGAATAAATGATAATTCTGTATGAAAGATATTTAATGTTAAATGTTTTAACTGTATAATTTTACTTTCAGTTTTTAAATTGAATTCACAGCTGCACTTATTAAATGTTCTACGTTATTTAATGTTCATTTAAACTATGTGTTCCATTTTAATCAGGTTGCTGGGATGGGTAATCTGCTTAAGGTCCTAACCAGGGAGATTGAAAACTATCCACATTTTTTCCTGGATTTTGAAAGTAAGTCGCAGTGCTGGGCAGCAATGAATACTATAAGCCTAAGCTTCAGCTGTTTTAAATCAAATCCTTCACACAAAATGTGGTTGAGGAACAAAATACTTCTGGAAATTATTCACTTCTACCAACAGAGCAAAGTTGATGGTATATTTCCCCTCAGTAGCCTTTAATATTCACCACATAGTGCATCTATCTCTTCCCTTTTTTCTCTTTCAGGAACCAAATGGGGAATCTGCTAAAAGTTCTCACTTGTACAGAGTTTGATCAAGGGCCAAATTTTTTTCTTGACTTTGAAAGTGAGAATAGACTCTTGCTTGGCTTTTATCATAAAACCAATCTGCATGTGCCTGTAGAATAGAGAAATTGGGGTGTGAAAGGAACTAAAATGGTGTATATTTGGGTGTCTACAATACTACAACTTCCCTAAATCTGTTCAAACATTATGCAATTTTTCCATTATCAGTTGGCACTACAACCAAGGACAACAATAGAACTTGCGATAGTAAAAGAACCCAAAACACCAAGTTAGTGAACGTGCTATGATGGTTACGGTCATTTGGTCTGGCAAATTAATCTCACGCTCTGTGCTGCTGAAAAAACCAAACAAAACACTTAGCACTTCAGTTGTATCCAATGAAAAATACCTTCTTTCCACTAAAGTTAGAAATATTTCCTCCATGTTTGGGCATGATTTTAAACAGTTTAAACAACTAACTAAATAGCTTGCACGATAGTAGATTCTAGAGTAAATCAAAATGTTGTCATTTGCCCATAATTTATTGTTTATTAAGCACACTTCTCTTTGGATTACTCTAACTTATTTTCTGAAATTATGTACATTTTAAATTAACATGAAGAATTTTATTTGGAAAAGTATAGTTCTCAGATCACTGCAGCGTATAAATGGTTTGTTGTTGTACATAAGACAAATGTTTAAGATCATTTAAGTAGTGGTAGTAACATTTTGTTCCTTGCATGCCCCTTGGATGGTACTTGGATGACAATATGCAATGCATGATTCTTCAACTGGAATTTCTAACTCTGTTGAGTTAATTTCTTAGAATATGCCCATTTTAAAGAAATCTCAGTGTGGAAAAATGTATTCAACAATGAGGCTTGCCATATGAATCTGCTACTCTTCACCATTTACTGTCGCATAATTTATTTAATTATTTAAGGAATTTAATTGAAGCAACATGAAAACTTTCAATGAGATGCAAAATATAGTTTCTAATCACCCAGTAAACATACATTTAAACTTAGTTTTGTTGTTTCTAAGTCTTTAATTTCATTAGGTTTGAATATAAAATTTAGATTTCTATCATTTTTTCCACTCTGATTTTGTGAACCTGGTGATTATTATATATTCCTGCATGATTTTAATAAGCTGGTTTTCTTTGTTAGTTGGCTACAGTGTACAGTGGGGGTATTGGCAGAAATCACTCACTGCATATGTGGCTTTATGCTTTATGTAATATAGAGGGTTATTCTAATTATCCTTTTGATAGGATAATGCACTGCTTAGAAATGTACATAATTACAGGAATCTAATTGCTGTGTACTAACCCAATTTGGTGCATGATGTGTTGAAGTTGTATTTGCTTATATACTGCTTATTTACTTGTAAATCAAGCCTGTGGGAGCTTTGATGCACTTTACTCCTGTCTAAGGCAATTCTAGCTTAATGATCAATTTCTTCCAATGTTTCCAAAACTGATTTTTTTTTTAAAAAAAAACCTCATTCCATGTAACATTTGCTCAAACTAAATAAAGGATAGCAAAAACGATGCTTGAAATTGCTTATAAAAGTCTTCCTGCCTACTGCTCAGCACAATGTAGGTTCTAGTTAAACTTCATTAATTTAGCTTCTTAAACATCATAAATGATATAAAATTGGTTATTTAAATATATTTACATATATTAATAGTAGAATTGTCATAATTTGACTACTCCTTCAAATCAGTTTTTTTAATTGATTATGGGTTACAAAATGAAAATGAGTACATTAAGACAACATTGAAGAATTTGCAGAGCACTTGATAACCTTATGTAGATTAATGGCAAGTTATTGATCACTTTGTTGCTTTTTATTTGCCGAGTTAGGAAATGAGGGATACAGGTTCAGAAAAATTGATTTCTCTGTTAGGTGAAAGATATAGAAGGAGAAAATGGCTGTTGGATTTGATGATGATTCTAAGGCACACATGAAGTATGTGTTATATAGACTATACCCAAGGAATAGGGGAGTGAGTGGTCACACAGTGGTGAAAGAGAGGGTTTTTAACAAACTAGCGAAAGAGGAGTTTTGTATCCGTTGCAATAATATTATCTTGTTCTAGAAAATGAAATTGACGGGAACTGTTGTAGTGGACGTGCCATTTATTGTGGCATTTATTTGCTTGTCTCACCTACTAAAATAAAAGTTTATCTGTTCTATCAAAACTGCAGCAAACTGCCTTAAGTCAAAGTTAACAATGTAATTGATGATATTTTGCAGTTAAGATAACTAAAGTTGAAAATTACAGATCTAAGTGCAGAAGTTTTTTTTTGAAACTTTAATTAAAACTAACACTATTAAATGAGTTGTTACTGCTGTATTTATATTCAGTTATCACCACATACTGTACTGTATTAGAATCTGCAGACAGCTTAAATCTGACAGCTTAAAATGGAATCCAACATATTTCCTGAATATTTCCTTCATGCTAATGCTGCCATTGTTCTGAAAACCATCCGCTTTGAACATGTTAGGAAGTGATGTAGCATTCATGGGGTGTAAAAGGTATTCTAAGAAATTTCAAGTGGCTTGGTAATGATTATTTATGGTAAATAATTCTGGTGATTTACAGTCAATTTCTTAACTTTCTGTAAAGGTGATAAAACTGAAAGATTATTCAGATATGATTTGTGACAACACAATGCTGGCAGGTTATTTCTGCAGAATTGACTGTCCTAAATGAGGTGGGCATGTGTAGGGGAAAATATAATCCTAAATACTTCATTATGTTATGAATTATTTTGTATTAACTTGTACACCACTGGTATTCTTTTTCAGTAGTGTGAATTGTTAATAACAAGGTTAAAATAATTAGCGCTATTCATGGCCCCCATTCCTTTGTTAGTGTTTCAAATTGAACATTCCTGAAACTACCCTGCATATAATAACATGCTTAAGAAAAAGTTGCTGTTAGCTTTCAGTTGAGAAAAACTCTAAATTATATGAGCTAGTTATCTCTTGTGACAAGAGTTTACGGTAAAGTTTCAGGTAGTCATCAACGACTGCAACACAAGGCGTGCCATTTAAACATCCCACAGAATTCAATTTAGTAAAAGCATAATTAAAATTATTACTTACTTCTGGCACATGTTGACTTGGATCTTTCTGCCTGATTCTAATGTGAAGATGTGGTATTTAATTATTTAAACTTTTATTATTTTGAGATGAATTGAAATAAAAATTTTAGCATTCATACTGCAAATAGAGAGTATTTACACATTTTTTTTGAAAACTTAAAGGGAATAAGTTCAGGTGTCTGCTGACAGCTAATGCCTTTGGTTGAACAGAAGTCCTACCATACAGTTCAATGGTCTGAACCTAGAGAAGGTCAGAAATCACATGACACCAAATTATCGTCCAGCAGGTTTATTTGAAAATACAAGCTTTCAGAGTCTTACTCCTTCCACATCATTAAACCTAGAGAGAAAAACTTTATCCATTTAATGTATATGAATAAAGAAATGAAATCTAAAAGCCTATCTTGGCTCTTCAGAACATTGATATCAATAATTAGCATTAGTCAAAATTCATGAGAGGTAATATTGACTTAATACAGCATCACAAGAAACTGATCATTTGTATTATCTCATTAACTGAAAGTTGCAGAAAGACAGGTTTGCAATTGCTTACTCAAAATGTATAAGATAGAAACATTTAAAATTAGCAAGCAGCTATATATACTACTCTTTTACTAAACACATGCTGCAGCATAACAGCGTTCAATTTTTTAAAAAAAATCAATGAAGTATTCCTCTTGAAATCGGACTTTGTCTTTCTCTTTATAAATTCACCTTAGTGTCAAACTAAATATGTAAAAATCTTGGTTCATTTCACCATCGAATCTTCTCATATTTGTGTAGACGCACAACCTACAGATGGAGAGCGGGAGATTTGGAACCAAGTGAATGCTGTACTGCAGGATTCTGAAAGCATTTTGACAGAGCTGCAGGCTTATAAGGGAGCCGGACAAGAGATAAGAGATGTATGCCAGTAACATTCATTCATTTATAAGTGTTGATTTAATTTTGAACATGAAGGTGTAAAGTGTTAATGTTATTTTGAATTCTGTAAAAACAAATTGTACCATTCTGTATTTATTAAAAGTATATGCAGAATGTATTAGAATGAGTTGACGTTTTATTTGACTCCTTTTAGAAAGCTATGCAATCTTTTTAACCATACTCGTCATGGAATATGAAACACCTAAAGTACAATGGCTCCACAGAGAAATCTGATTAGAATCAATTATTATTAATTTACATGTTGGAGTACTTCAGTACTTAAAGATGGCAGTGCTAATTTGAGGGATTTCATGTATAGTCTAATGCTTTATACTGATCCGAACTGAATGTAGGGAATAAAATACCTATAATGCCCGATTTTTCAACTTAATAAGAAAAATTAATATTGGCAATGAACTTTCTATAGAACCAGCATTGTCATATGGCATTTCAACGTACACATCATAATAAGCTATTAATATCCAAAAGTTCTAAGATGTGATGCCAGTGCGAAACATTTTGTTTTCTCCCAGGCAATTCAAAATCCCAGTGACGGCCAGCTGCAGGACAGAGCATGGAGCTCAGTGTGCCCATTAGTTGGGAGACTTAAGAGGTTCTATGAATTCTCTATAAGATTGGGTAAGCTTTTAAACTTTCTTTTTTCCATTTTTATGCAGATAGAGTATAGAAGCTCTGTTACACTGTACCTACCTGATGTAACATAGAAAATCACATTTAGAATTAGAATATCCTTTATTGTCATGTGTACTGAAGTACAGAAATACAGTGAAAAGTTTTACAATGTCACCTCTTACGGTGCCGTCTTAGGTACAAAGTACCAAGGTGCAAATCTTAGATACAAAAAGAGGAATAAAAAGAAAAGTAGTTGCATTACTTTACAGTGATTTGTAGTATAATTTAGAAATATGACATAGTTAAAAGGATAGACATCACAGTCAATAAATAAATTACAAATAAACATTACATTGTAGTAGTTTAGCACAGGGGTTTCCACACATGGTCTGACCACCTGCTCCAGACCCAAGTCCAAAAACTGTCCCTGCTCTGTTTCAAGCCTCCAGTCTGCCCCATACCGGCTCTCAGCTGCTTCAAGGTAAGTTTTTTCCGGGACTTGACTCCCCACGCTGGTCTCTGCTCACGGAGTCGCCTCCTGGACTTGCCAGCTCTCTTTCGCCTCTGGCTAAGTCCAAGTCGGAAGTTGGAAAAAAGATGCAGAAAAGGAGGAAATGAGAAAGATTTTAAAAAAAGAAAAAGAATGGACGGAGCAGAGGAGCTCCGGCTAGTGTGTCTTACTCTGCCGCTATCTATGTAGATTACTTTGCAGGTTTGCCATCAATGAGACACGTGCCATCAAACTCAATCCCGTAAAACAAACTAAGTAACAATAATTTTCATTAGATAGTCCGGAGCTCCCCTGAAAAGTGACTTTTTTGTGTAAACACATTGGTAATGGTAAACAGCTGATGGCAGACACAATTGGATCAGGCTTTCTATCTTGCGCTTGTAAACAAATGTCTCAATCCATCAAATGAATCATTTAACTTTGATATTGCAGGTCTGTGCAAGTGTTATTCCTGAAAGCGGAGAAGATCCTAACCAAATTCACAATTATATCGCACCGAATTTTCGAATGCATAGCTGATTTGAAGTTGTGTTAGTGGCTTGAAATCAATTAGTCTTATGCCCGTGCAGTTGTTTGTTATTGCTAAATCTGCTCAAATTGGATTCTTGATAGCCTGGTTTACTAACTGTTGACAATTTTTGAGACTCACTCCACTATGGTTGCAAACTTTAACTTGTGGTGGGAAAATGCAAACTCCTTTTACTACGTATTTTTGATTTGTCCATACAGAGAAAGCATTGCAGAGTCTTTTGGAATCTTTAACCTATCCACCTTACACGCCAACTCAACATCTGGAACGGGAACAAGCTCTGGCCAAACAGTTTGCTGAAATTCTGCATTTTACTCTCCGTTTTGATGAGCTTAAGGTTTGATATTCAAACTTGCCTGTGGTATTTTACATAAAATGCAAAATTTATTAAATTATAATATCCTGTTATTTTCTGTCCTAGATGAAAAATCCAGCCATCCAGAATGACTTTAGCTATTACAGACGAACTATTAGTCGTAACAGAATTAATAACATGCATGTGAGTACAGTGTGTCAGAGACTAAAATGGAATTAGTGAAATAGGGTTTACATAACTTTAAAACTAATCTGTGCTCTTTTTATCCTGCTTGTGTAGTTAGATGCTGAGAATGAAGTAAACAATGAAATGGCCAACAGAATGTCCTTATTTTACGCAGAAGCTACACCAATGTTAAAAACATTAAGTGATGCAACAACCAAATTTGTATCAGAGGTATGTACACCAGATCAGGTACTGGTCTTATTTGTGATATAGTAATAATTGCCTTTTTATTAGATCATTACATAGAACCCAGTTGAGCTAGCCAATTGGATACAAAATTGGTTTGAAAGTAGGAGACAAAGTGGTGGCAGACATTTGCTTATCGGACCGGAGGTCTGTGACCAATGGTGCGCCACAAGGATTGGTGCTGGGCTCACTACTTTTCATTATTCGTATAAATGATTTGAATGTGAATATAAGAGATATGGTTAGTAAGTTTGTAGTAATAGAAGTAATAGGTTTAAGGGGAGAGGGGAAAGATTTAAAAAGGACCTGAGGAGTAACTTTTTCACATAGAGAGTGGTGCGTACACAGAATGAATTGCCAGAGGAAGTGGTATAGGCGGGTAGCGTTACAACATTTAAAAGGCATCAGGATGGGTACATAAATAGGAAGGGTTTTGAGGGATATGGGCCAAATGCTGGTAAGTGGGACTAGGTTAGATTGGGATGTCTGTTCGGCGCAGACGAGTTGGACCGAAGGGTCTGTTTCCCTTCTGTATGACTCTGACTCTATTACCTCACCTGAGTATTAACAGTACTGGTATTGTTCAGATGAGATAATGATTATAAATTTTTGTACCATTAAAAGGAGCAGAAATTGGATTCTGCTTTTGAACCAAATCCATAAAAACAAGTGTGCATGAATTCCACGTAACATTGAGGCACCATGTGATTTTGGTGATGATAACTGCTCTCTACACTTAGACTTGTGTTGACTTGCAGGAGTCTTTATTGTCAAGTACTCACAACTGGAGTTAGTGCATAAAATAACGAGTTGGCACTGCTAATTCAGTACTGGATTTCCTCATCAATGGTAGTCTTTAGAGATAAGTGGCTGCCAAGATATTGATAATTTTTAACATATTTCAGAATGTTTTCTTTAACATATATGGGATGTGTAATATTTGGCTGACCAAGTGAGGGCTGAGATCAGTTTTATTTTGGCAACACTCACGGAATTGAAGAGATTGATAACAATGTGCAAACCTGTTGGTGTGGGCAATGATACTGCAATACTCCACAAACTGCAGTCCATAATGGCTGGGATATTTATTTTAGTTTTGACATGGAAGCAACTAAGAATAAAGTGATTTCCATTAATGCAGTATTTAATACTGACACTACAAGACAACTGACCTTTGATAAGATGAATGACCCCTATCAGGTAGATTAGGAATAGTTTTAGCCTACCCCATTGCTTCAGTTAACCCCGGTTTGGATTTTGAAGGCGTCAGTTTCAGGGTGTTCCACTCAAGCTCCTTGCAGTCATAGCACCATGAGGCAATTGCACGATTGGGACCTTGTTTCTTGGAATCCACAGAGTCTCGTGATTTGCTGAATTGAATGCTTTGGTCAGGTTCATGAATGCAATGAAGTGTTGCATACCAATATAAGCAAACTTCTTTAAAGTTTGTACCCTCTCCAAAGCTTCCCCATATTTTTGGGTAGTGTGGTGACCAGAGTTGAACACTATATTCCAAAAGCAGTCTCACTAAAGTTCTATACAGCTGCAACATGACTTGCCAATTTTTATACTCTATGTTGTGACCAACAGATGCAAGTATGCAATGTGCCTTCCTGACCACCTTATCCACTTGTGTTCCCACTTTGATTGAACTGTGGACACCTACATCTCTCTGTATGTTGATACTCCTCTGCCATTTACTGTATACCTCCCTCCTGCATTAGATCTTCCAAAATGCATTTGCCTGGAATAAACTCTATCTGCCATTTCTCCACCTAAGTCTCCAGCCTTCTATATCCTGCTGTTTCCTGTAACAATCCACAGCTCCCCCAGTCTTTGTCAACCACAAACTTACTAAATAGGCCATCTACATTCTCCTCCAAATCATTTGTACATATTACAAATAACAGAGGTCCCAGCTTTTGATCCGTGCGGAACACTACTGATCGCAGATCTCCAGTCAGAAAACTACCCTTCCACCTCTACTGTCTGTCTTCTGTGACCAAGCCAGTTCTGCATCCATCTTATCAGCTCACCATGGATCCCATGTGACTTTGCCTTTTTTATCAGCCTTTTCAAAAGGCTTGCTAAAGTCCATACAGACAACATCTATCGTCCTGCCCTCATCGATCATCTTTGTCACTTCCTCAAAAGATTCAACCAAATTTGTGAGATCTAACATTCCTCACACAAAGCCATGCTGCCTATTGCTAATAAGTTCATACTTTTTCCAAATGTAGGTAAACCCTATCCCTAAAAATCTTTTCCAATAATTTCCTTACCATTGATGTAAGGCTCCCCTGGCCTGTAATTTCCTTGATTATTCCTTTCGTCCTTCTTAAACAGAGGAACAACATTGGTTATCCTCTGGTCCTCTGGGATCTCTCCTGTGACTAAATGGGGTACAAAGATTTTATACAAGGCTCCAGCAATTTCCTCAGTTGCGTTCCTTCGCATTCTGAAATAGAGTCCATCAGATCCTAGAGATTTGTCTACCTTAATGCCCCAGAATATCAACATATCATTCTCAAGACTCACCATCCACCATGTCCTCCTTTGTGAATACCAATGCAAAGTATTCCTTAATGATCTCACCAATTTCCTCTAGCTCCATTTATAATTTCCCTCCTTTGTCCTTGAGTACCTACACTTCCTTAGCAACCCTCTTGCTCCTTCTATATGTATAAAACACCTCAGGATTTCCCTTAATTCTGTTTGACAAAGACATTTCATGGCCCCTTTTAGCCCTCCTAATTCCTTGTTTGTGTTCTTTCCTACTTTATTTGTATTCTTTGAGGGCTCTGTCTGTCTTAATTTTCCTAAACCTTATTTATGCCTCCTCTTCCTCTTTGACTACACTCTCAATTTCTCTTGTCATCCAAGGCTCCTGAATTTTGCCATCCTTATCCTTTATTTTCACAAAAACATGCTGGCCCTGAACTCTAATCAACTTTAAAAGATTCCCACCTGCCAGATGAAGATACACCTTCAAACAGCTACCCCCAATCTACAACCCCCAGTTCCTGCCTAATCTTATGGTAGTTAGCCTTCCCTAAATTTAGTACTTTTACCCAAGGACTAGACCTATCCTTATCCAAAAGCAACTTAAAACTTACAGAATTACAGTCAATGTTTTCAAAATGCTCCCCACACTGAAATTTTGATCCACACAAATTCACACCACACAAATGCCAAGCAATGACCATCTCCAATAAAAGACAATCTAGCCACTGCCCATGGACATTCAATGGTGTTGCCATCACTGAATACCTCACTATCAAAATCTTGGGGGTTATCATTGACCAGGAGCTCAACTGGACTTGCCATATAAACACAGTGGCTACAAGAGCAGGTCAGAGGCTAGGAATGCAACGGCGAGTAACTAGCATCTTAATTCCCCAAAGCATGTCCATGGAATACTCCACATTTGCCTGGATGGGTGCAGCTCCAAAAACACTCAAGAAGCTTGACACCATCCAGGACAAGGCAGCCGCTTGATTAACACCACATCAATAAATACCCATTCGTTCCACCACTGACACTGAGTAGCAGCAGTGTGTGCTATCTACAAACTGCACTGCAGAAACTCACCAAAGATCCTTAGACAGCACCTTCTAAACCCACAATGACTTCCACCTAGAAGGACAAGGGCAGCAGATACATGGGAACGCAACCACCCACAAGTTCCCCTACAAGCCACTCACCATATATATCGCCATTCCTTTACTGTAGCTGGGTCAAAATCCTGGAATTCCCTCCCTAATGGCATTGTGGGTCAACACACAGCAGGTGGACTAGAATGGTTCAAGAAAGCAGTTCAGCACCACCTTCTCCAGGACAACTAGGGAAGGCAGTAAACTCTGGCCAGCCAGCAATGCCCATGTCCTGTGAGTGATTTTTGTTTTAAGAAACAAGCGGGTGTGAGAAATAGCAGTGTACCCTGGAGAGGGCCAGGCGACAATATCTTGATTTCTGAAGGGAAAAGTTCCAAACCCACAAAAGCTTCTGCTGCTCTTTGCCAGACCTAGTTCCATCTGAGTCTCGGATCATTTCAAGAAGTACCATCTTAGAGACTGACTGCATCTATTGTGAAGCTCTGAAATTATGTAGTGGACTTCTTCACGCATGCATGCTGCTGGTGCTACCTGCAGAAGTGTTTACAGCACTTGCAGCCACTTTAATAAGCTGTTCAACACATGCACCTGGACCAAAGTAAAATGTGTCTCCCAAAACAAATAATAATCAAAACAATGGTTAACTATAAGGGTTCAGTCTGACTGCAACTGATTGAGAATGAAGTGTTTTGACTGTACCATTGTTGATAAAGTTATAGGGAAATCTCAGTTTCACAATGGTCAAAGAATGCTACTTTTAATATTGTACCGTATTCAGGTTTGTAGGTGGATTCTTATGTTTTAAATTATAATTGTTTTTCTTTTTCTGTTTTAGAACAAGACCCTACCTATAGAAAATACGACTGATTGTTTAAGTACAATGGCTAGTGTGTGCAAAGTCATGTTGGAAACACCGTAAGTATGATCCAGAAATTCATATTTTCAAGTTATTTTGGCATCTATTGATCAGACTTCTGTGTGAGATTTGTACCTTGCCTAAAGATCATCTCCCAAAAGGGACCTGATGGGCAGTGAGATGTACAATTCTGAATGTATGAAACAAAATAGTCAAAAGGGCTTGAATTATTCTAGCCTTTTTGTCTTTGTGCAAAAAGTGTACTAATAGTATTTGGGCTGTGGAGCTGTGGCAAAATGCAATGAATTATAGAAAAGCAGTCTGCCACAATGAATAAATCATACTCTTTAAATTAGCAGTTAAAAAATTTATGCATCAAGCATGTCACAATTTTTTGATGGCCTCTGATGCTAAATATATGCTGGTCTGTGTTTCTTTTTCTATCACCTGCTAGTAATGATTTTTTTAAATTAACTAATCAGCATTATCTTGAAAACCAGAGACATTTGAAATGGTCTCCCGTGTACCTCAAAGACCCCACTTCCATTGGTAATAATGAAAAGTACTGTAAATCATTTTACTAATTAATTTTGTAATAATTTATTTTTAAGTGTGTATTTTAAACTTTTACCTTTTAAACAGGGAGTACAAGAGCAGATTCACCAATGACGAAACTCTACTGTTCTGTATGAGAGTGATGGTGGGCGTCATTATACTGTATGATCATGTACACCCTGTGGGAGCATTCGCAAAAACATCAAAAATTGATGTAAGGAAATATATGTGGGAGAAAATAAGCATCATTATAATATATAAGAATGAGAAATAAGGCTGTCTTGTTTCATTGGACTTAAAATACACTCTGATTTTAAGTGTTGATTTTTATTGCCATCAGCTACCTTCTTTACCTTTGTTTGTAAAATTGAAAAATGCTGAATTGCATCCTTTGCTTCACGTTCTCTATTTTCATGATCATCCTCCCGAGTCTCGAAGCCAGTTTTTCTCATGGTCTATATTTAAATATATTGATTAAGAAAAACAGATACATTTATGACATTTTAGAAATTTTCTTATCGACTCATGTTGAGTGGAATCATGTTGAGGTTTTGAGGGTCTTGTGGACGGGATGAAGAGACTGGGGTTTCACTTTAGGAAACATTCTTGAGACTGAGAGTGGTTGAGCAAGGAGCTGTAAACATCTAATGTTCCACTCTAAATAAGTATTAGATTGATTAAATATTGGCTCTAGGAATATCTTTTACCAACTGGCTTTCTGGATTCTGACACATTAGACAGCCATATCGTGTAAGTGGATTCTTATTAGGTTATTCAATGGTATTTTTGCTCATGATATCTAACAAATTTACCAGATAGAGACATTACGTTAGTGTGAAACAGCATGAAATATACTTAGGGGACTTTTTTTTATGCTACACTTGCTGTGCATTTGTTTTGATTTGTCAACTCATTTGATAAATTTACAATAAAGATTATTTGCCGACATTCAGATCATTAAATAGAAATCCAGGTCATTAACAGCAAATGACTGATTCCAACTGAAGATTCATATGAACTCTGAGCTTCGTTTTATGACATTTTAATGGGTTTTTAATAAAATATATTTGATTTGAAACAAATTCTTTGAAGAGCTGGATGCTTTAAACAGTCCATTAAAACCACAACAGGACGTTACGTTAAAATGTACCAACAATCTAACGAGATAATAATAGTGTAAAACTTCAACAGAGAAATATAATAGATGCTTGTATTACTGAAACTTAACCATTGCTTATGTTGTCTCTCAGATGAAAGGATGCATAAAAGTTCTGAAAGAGCAGCCACCAAACAATGTGGAAGGTCTTCTGAATGCACTCAGGTAAGATTTGTTTTTTTTCCTAACCAGATTCTTTTAAGAATTAATATTAAGGCACACATGTAAAATTTCTCACTGCAAACTGAGTGCAGTCTGCTTTATCTTCACTTGCTTTGTAGCTCATATCTAATGATCTTATACCTAATGTCTAGCTGGCTGCATACAGTTTTAGCCTTGAGATATGAAAATAATGTTTTTTCCATCATATTTAGTAAGTACTGATACTTGATTTTCACTGGATAAATGTATGCCTATAAGTAAATTAACTGTTCATCCCAAAGTCTTGCATCCAACGAAATTCCACGGCAGAACTTAACCTTCCTTTGAATATAATCTTAAAATCATTTGTGCTTTGCATTTAAGCTTAATATATTTGAACTGCTCAGAGTGTTTGCGAGTGAGTGGTTCCATTTCATTTCCCTTTTCTGACACTTTATCTCTAAAGGGCTTTCTTGTGTATACTGTATGGTTATTAACATACTGGGGAAAGCTTTGTACGGTCATGTTATGCATTTTGGTGAAGGTAAAGTTGAGGAGTGGCCTATTGTTTGCATGGTACATCACAGTTTGCTATCACAGATAGCAGGATGTACCTTGCTGGATGAGCCAGTATTTGCTTGAAAGGATAAGACTTTATCCATGTCCAGCAGTTAGTGATGTTCCATAACACATTTCTCATATAGGGCTTGAGGCTACTCGAAGACTAAGATGTCTGGATTTCACTCGTGCTATATTGAGAAATGCAATGAACATTGTAGGACAGACAAACTGAGAACTTCCATCCAAATTAAGAAACAAGTTTCCAATACACACCACTTTTAGATATAGTGTAGACTTAACTTTTGCCGAAATTTTATGCTTTTCAAGGTGAATTGAGCATGTTTTTAATTCAAGTCTTTATGAGTAACATTGTTCACACAGGTACTACATATGTTTGGTATCATTTACTTGGGTAGAAAAGTAGGGTGTTTGCCCATTATTTTCCCTACTCTGAGTAATTCACTCAAGCAGTGGGCAAGTCAGTCAACTGTGGCCAGCAAAGCAAGTTAAGTAATGTATAAGATTAAGAAAAGTCTGCACAGTTGCCAGGGATGGTAATAATTCTGAGGACTGGGAGGTGTTGCCCAAAAAGGAATACACAAACCTTTTATTAGGTGTTCTTCCCTTGTGTGACAAATAAAAGGCTGTCTCAATTTAGTTAAAAAACCCTTCTTTATTTCATCTCTAAGTACCAATACTTAATACAAAACCTACATTCATTGCAACATTTACTTCTTATTTTATCTAACTTAACTTCAATTTTAACTCACTTCATTTAACTTCACTTTAATTTAATTCATATTTAACCCTGGCTCTAACTTTAACTCCATAAGTTTGGCTTGAATCAAATATTAGCTGATGAGAGTGAAGTGGCCATCTTTGTACTCCGTGTAGATCTCACCTCATGGTTCTTCATTTTCTCTGAAGGTAACTTTAAGATACGTACTTCTCAAGTGTTGGTCTCAGAGCCTTCTCCTGAGAAAATCTTTTGTTCTGCTTACCTACTTCAAAATGTGCTTGATTTCCAGAGTGTTCTCTGGAGCACAGCCAATGAATTGATCAAATCCTGATCACATTGTTCAATCCCTGCCAATGGAATTTACTGGCAAACAACTCTCAAATATTTACAACTGAATCGTAAACCGCTACATTCCATACTCCGTTTAAGGTTGTATAGTGCCAGTGTTTCTAGAGACACCATGACACTTGCCTTATTTGGTCAACACAGGAAACTGCAGTTCACAACATCTCCTGTCTGCAGTTTTAACTGAGGTTAGAGTTTAAACTAGCTCAACCAAAATTCCCAGCGTGCTTGATAATAGCTCTTAACCAGCCTAGTAGCCATTTCTGTTGGTGGCATCCTGACCACAGAGGATTTTAAAATGCAGCAAAGGAAGACCAAGAAGCTGATAAAGGGAGAACAGAATATGAATGTAAACTCACAAAAAAACATGAAAATGGGCAGTGAAAGCTTCCACAGATGCATACAAACGAAATGTTTGACTAAGACAAATGTGGGTGCATTCCAGGCAGAGTCAGAAGAATTTATAATGAGGAATTGTGAAATAGGATGAATTTAGCTTCTCTGCTATCTCCCCTGAACTATGTCCTCATCACTGAACATCACAATGTTGGTTCCAGGACAATCACTATTGTTTCCTAGACTGATCAGCATCAGCTGTACTTTATCTGTACTAAATTATGTATAATGTATGATTATGTACAATGGAAGATAAAAGAAATATCCCAGAATTAGAAATTTAAGGGACTTGAGAGAATTATGAAAGTTACTATTAGTAAGAAGATTGCATTGGAGGAATAATGGGTCTGAAGGACAATAAGTCCTTTGGACCCGAGGATTTACATACCAGAGTGTTGAAAGAGATAACTAATGTATCCACCACTCTCATAGCTAACATCTTCCAAAATTCTATAAATTCTGGAATGGATCCTGCAGTACTCGCCAACAGTAGTAGTAAACAAAATATTGGAATCTATTTTTAAAAGGTGTAATAAATGGACACTTGGGTAATTATGGTCTAGTTCAGCATTATCAGCATGAACTTGTAAATGGAAAATTGTATCTGAACCTGTTAGAGATTTTTGAATTTAAAATAATTTACAAAGGGGAGTTGATGGACATAACATACTCTGATTATCAGAAGTCTTTTAACAAAGTTCGGTATATGAGTTTGGTCAGGAAATGTAAAGAACTTGGGATAGGAGTTAATGTATTGGCATGAATTAAAGCTAGCAGGCAGAAAACAGTAGGATGAAATAGGTCATCCTGACACTGGCAGATGGTAACCAATAGAGTACCACAAGCATCAGTGCCGTAGACCGGTTAACCTGACATCGGTGGTGAGCAAGTTGTAGGAGGGAATCCTGAGGGACAGGATTTACATGCATTTGGAAAGGCAAGGACTGATTAGGGATAGTTAACATGGCTTTGTGCGTGGGAAATCGTGCCTCACGAACTTGAGTGAGTTTTTTTGAAGAAGTAGCAAAGAGGATTGTTGAGGGCAGAGTTGAGGACGTGATCTGTATGGACTTTGGTAAGGCGTTCGACAAGATTCCTCATGGTAGATTGCTTAGCAAGGTTAGATCACACGTCATACAGGGAGAACCAGCAATTTGGATACAGAACTGGCTCGAAGGTAGAAGACAGAGGGTAGTGGTGGAGGGTTGCTTTTCAGACTGGAGGCCTATAACCAATGGTGTGCCACAAGGATCCGTGCTGGGTCCACTGCTTCTTGTCATTTATATAAATGATTTGGATGTGAACGTAGGAGGTATGTTTAGTACATTTGCAGATGACACCAAAATTGGAGGTATAGGGGACAGTGAAGAAGGTTACCTCAGAGTACAACGGGATCTTGATCAGATGGACCAATGGGCCAAGGAGTTTAATTTAGATAAATTTGAGGTGCTGCATTTTGGAAAGGCAAATCAGGGCGGGACTTTTACAGTTAATGGTAAGGCCCTGGGATGTGTTGCTAAACAAGAGACCTTGGAGTGCAAGTTCATGGTTCCTTGAAAGTGGAGTCGCAGGTGAATAGGATAACGAAGATCTTTGGTATGCTTGCTTTTATTGGTCAGTGCATTGAGTATAGGAGTTGGGAGGTCATGTTGTGGCTGTACAGGACATTGGTTAGGCCACTTTTGGAGTACCGCATGCAATTCTGGCCTCCCTCCTGTAGGAAGGATGTTGTAAAACTTGAAATGGTTCAGAAAAGATTTACAGGGTGTTGTCAGGGTTGAAGGGTTTGAGCCATAGGGAGAGGCTGAATAGATAGGAGCTATTTTCCCTGGAACATCGGAGGTTGAGGGGTGACCATAAAGAGGTTCATAAAATCATGAGGGGCATGGGTAGGGAAAATAGACAAGGTCTTTTCCCCAGGGTGGGGGAGTCCAAAACTAAAGGGCGTAGGTTTAAAGCGGTTTCCAGAGAATTTGACATTTAGTGAGTGGGCAAGACCATGGCAAATGGAATCTAATCTGAAAATGTGTGAGGTCATCCACTTTGGTAGGAGGAACACATGGGGATTAGAAAGCATAGATACACAAAGGTGCCTGGGCATTCTCATCAGTAAGTCACTGAAATCTAACATGCAGATGCAGCAAGCATTTAGGAAGGCTTTTATGGTATGTTAGCCTTCATCACAAGAGAAGTACAGGAGTGGTGAAGTCTTGCTTCACTTGTATAATACCTTGGTTAAACGGCATCAGAAGTACTGTATAAGTACTGTATAAAGTGTTTATCCCCTTACCACAGAGGTAGTGCAATAAACATTTACCAGACTTCTGCCCGGGTTAGCGGGACTATCCTATGAAGGGATATTGGGGAAACTAAGCCTCTATTCGCTAGAATTTTGAAGAGTGAGAGGTAAAAGCTACAAAATACCTTAAGGGATAGACAAGATGGGTGCATATAAAATATTTGCTGCAGCTGGGGAGTCTAGAACCAAGGGATATAATTTCAAACTAAGGAAGAAGCCACATAGGTTGGCGATGAACTTCTAAATACCAATGAGAAAAATATATCTGGGCATAGTTTGAAGAAAAGGCATTGACGATCGCTCATGATCGTATTGAATGACAGAGCAGGTTTGGTGGGCTAAATTGACTATTCCCACTCCTATGTCCCCATTAAAGATGGAGGTGGTCTTCTCATCCAAATGCAATTTGAAGCCCTAAAGTGACCAATTTAAGGCCATTTTCAGCAAGACGAGGAAGAGATCCCCTCGGCCATGGGGGGAGATCCTTGGTAAAAGCTGGCAGAGAGGAATCGCTTCCTGATTGGCCACTCTTATGACCTACGGAAGAGGTCCCAGCAAGGACCGCACTTGCGAAAGCAACCCCTGCTCTCACCACTGGCTCCCTGGCTACCTCTCTCAGTGGCACTGTTGGCACTGAAGAGCAGCCAGCCCTCTGATTGACCAGCAGTTCCTAGGTAATCTGCAACCTTAAGGGCTGCGAGTTTTGACGCCTGGCCGTTTGTCACATAATGGCAACAAACAGGTCACTGCTCCTAGAAATGCAAAGACTAGGTTGGCCACAGCTTTCTGACCCACTGAAAGGGCCACCATCACCTTCCTCAAATTCAGCATGTAAAATACAGGACAGAATTCCCAGCAGTCTGCTTTTAACAGTGTTTCTTAGTTTCTACAAGTTGAGGGGTAATCTTTATTGAGGCATTTAAACTCTCAAAGGGTTACACTTTTGTTAGGTTGGGGTATATTGGGGGTTTATAGCAAAGGCAAATTGAGGTACAGATCAGCCATTCTTTGATGGTCTGGTGAAACCAGTTTGAGGGCCTTCTGCCAGTTTGTACGCTTTTCAGGTTGGTCTTTCAAGAGGCATCCCTGCTGTATAGTATGCTATTTTCCACAGCAGCCATTTCTTTAATACTCATTTAAATGAAATTGCTAACAGTTTTGTTTCATTTGAAGCCAAACACCTGAGATGAAAGAACATTACAATAGTCCAACATGTCTTTGCTGGTAGCTTGTGTGTTAATAATTTGATAAATATATTGCATCTGGTGGTAGTCTGATACCTGTTTAAACTTTGGCAAAAATGTGGAAAGAAATCCTGTGGCACATTAAAGGAAGTTGTTTTTTGACCAAAGGTGTTTATATCTATTCACGTTAATTAAGTCCAAGAGGACCCTACTGAATTGTTTAAAAACTACTGTCTTGTATGTGTGGGACAGTACTGCCCGTAGGAAAGGAAAAAGAGCTACATTTAAGAATCGACATTTGCACCACAACACCCCAAAGATACCCTGACAAAAGGAACAATTAAAAGCCTTAGCATGCAGCAATAGTTTTGCTTACTGTGGTTGACTAGTCTCTTCAATAATATGTGTATACTATTAAATAATTTTTAGGTACACCACAAGACACCTGAATGATGAATCAGCATCCAAACAGATTCGAACCATGCTTCAGGTTCAGTAACTCCTTGGGCAAGAGGATCTCTGTCCTGACCTCAGAAGATGTACATGTTTACATAATTTAATACAAGTTGGTGTTAATACTTATTTGTCTTATTTACCATAACCATTCCCTCCTCATCACTTAACATATGAAGAAAAACCTTTATAATAAAATCGATGAATGGCATTTTTTTTATTTTTACATAGCATAATATGAAGCATACCTGCAGCCTTATATTTGATGTTGCAAAGTGCAGTTTGGTTTTGGCAGAATTGATGTTACAACGCTATTTTGCTCCAGTTTGAATTTCTCTATATTGCTATAAAGACCCGGTACATCTGCAAATCTTATTGTAAATTTTGCTAGTGTTTTAGTGTGTTAGCATTCAGGGAACTAGTTCTTACTATGACAAAGAACAACACACAAGCTTGCTGATTTTTTAAGTTGTCTTTCACATGTTTGGTCAGTCAGCTACTATGGGCATAGATCATTGAGATCTGCACCTTGTTCCATCTGGTGCTCATATTTGGTTGGAAACATGCTTTTGAGCTTTGAAGAGATAACATCTCTTTTACTAGCCTGCAGCAATGAATTTAAGAATCACTTTTACACTCTCCTAGTTTATCTGTCATTTTAAAAAAAATGAACAGACTATGAAATGTCAAAAAAAAGCCCGTAAGATTAAAAAGCCATACCATTTTAACTGCACGATTTCTGTGCTAGCATTTTAAAGCAGACCATTAATGGAATACAGATGATTTTCTTCTGAGCTTCACCACATGAACATGAAAATAAGATTATATGTCTAGTCTGGACTTATTGGGCATTTTAAATTTGTCAGGTTGTGCATTTTACATTTATATGCACTTTCAGTTAAAAGAAGGGGGAATACTACATACTGGCAAAAAGGTAGGTATGCCGATAAGCAACAGGCAGCATTGGTACAAGGTCGCATGCTCTTAGTTGAATGTAATTACAGTCATTGCTAAGCATGTACTACAGACTGATAAATCAATCGATCCAAATTTTGTTACATAAGAGTGTTATGCTGCAAAGTAATAATAAAAACCATTTTAATGATTGAGGGCAAATGTTAAACCTGAAATGATATCTGCAAAATATAGCTTAGGGAAGCAAATTGAACAGAAGGGAGAATAAACGAAAAACATTTAAGGAAAATTTATATAGGCCTATAAGAAGAGGGTATGTTTCTTTAACGTCTTCATTGATGTAAAACTATATTTCTATTTCAACGTATTTTTTATACAAGCAATAAAATTTCACGTGATGCATTCTATGAATGAAGTGCACATAAATTAAACGCAATTTAATAAGAATTCTAACAAAATATATCACACCTGTATTCTGCAAGTAGGGGATATGTCACAATAATGCACATAAATAATATTTGTTTCCATAGTATGGTTGAATGAATAATCCACAATTGCTGAAGTTTTGAATAGTCAGCATCATGAGTGAAAGTATAAATTGTAGTACATGCGTGCCAACAATGTATTCTTTTTACACCACAGGTTTACCATTGTTAATTTTTAAGAAAAAATTTATCTCAATAGGGTAGCAATGGTAGTAGGATTTTCTAAAGCTGCCTTCTGGTCATGCAAGCTGGCCCTAATCTCCTTGAAGAGATGACTAGCCAGTATCATGAACTGAGGAAAATCTCCTTAGGGCAAATACAGATTTTCCTCTTCAAACATTATATTTTACTTGCTTGTTATACATTTGAGATTCTAACTCAGCGACCCTTTGTCCTTCTGGATATACTGTATTTTAAAAATGTGAGGAAACTTAAAGCTCACAGGTTTGATTTTTATTAGCAATCAGAATGTTCAAATTACTATTTTGAAGTATTATCTATGTATATGAAGCCTCTCCATTACATATGGAGTATCTTACAGAGTATAAGGTTGGAGTTAATTGAGTATTAAAATTTTACAAAATTTTTACTTTTTAAAAAATACAACTTGAAAACTGAGTTAAAAATCTAGGATTGGTCAGTTATTTCCATGGCAATGTTTTTTTGGGGAAAACAGCGTTGAGTTGACTCGATCAAGAGTGATTGTGTAGTAGGTCCAACCCTTGAAATTAATGTCGTGTACCTGTGGAAAAGTGAAAATATTTTCTTGGATTGTTAGCAACACCGCTAGTACAAGTTAATACTTACACAAATAGCCTACAGAATTCAGTGGCAAAGTGGCCAGCAAGGGGGTTAAATCTGATTGCATCCACTTGGCAACATCACATTAGGTGCCTTGAGAGATCTGCCACAACAATTTGATACAGTTGAATATTGTGTCCGATTTGAGCCAGGTGAATCTGCTACTGCACTGTAAGATATTATGAAGGACCCAATCATATTGTATTTTTTTAGGTATATTGACTTGGGTTTAATTGCAATATCAAATTCAAGAATGTCCCTTTCACACAGGTAACAAAAATTATACATAAAACTGTAGAATCTCAATTCCAGTACTAATGACTATCATAGCATTTCTTTTGCATTACAGTCTTTCTTTAAAGTTGCCAAGATGAGAGCACAGTAGTAGAAAGTCAGCAACTTTTGTGAATACTTGATCATCACATTATTAGCATTAATTTATAAGTTTCAGAGGATTTATTTGGAAAAATTCTGTTTGTGAACGGTATTTTGAATGCACTGGAAAATGAAAATGTGGCTTAAATGCATTCCCCAAAGAGTAATATTTGCCACTTTAAAATATGTTTAAAGCTGGTTTAGAGATCAGGCCTTTTAAATGGTGGCGTGACACTTCAATTCCATTGTATTAAAACAGTATTCATCCTATGTGAGATTTGCTATTTTATTCCACTGAGTTATTGTTGCAGTTTAATATGAGTAATAAAAGCTTTGATATTGTTTGTGATACATTGTATATTGCTCTGTATTTTGAATTCTAACTTAAACTGGATTAAAAATGATGAAAAATCAATTGGTCTGATACTGCTATTATTTGTTAAAGCAATGTTAATGGAAGCATCATACTGGATGGTAGTTCTTCAAAAGACATTACCATGCAGGGAAATTTGCTCAATCAGAATCTAACCAGCATACTGAAATACTGATTCTGACAAAGTGAATATTTTAAATTCTTCCTATGGACTTTTTATTTGCAAAGATAATGACCACACTTTAGGTGAAACCAGCTGTTTGCTTTTCTTTTTACGTTATGCATGTGTGAAATAAAAATGAAACCATGGTGTGCATTTGTTCCTCAATAAACTAATAAGCGATCAGTATTATTTGTATGACACAAAAGAAATATTGGTGGTTGGTGTTCTAATTATGCCAGTTATCTAACAGACATTGTTTTTTAAAATTAATATGCTAATATGTCAAGAAAGATACCTATATGAAATGAGCAGCAAACATCTGTGAAAAGAAAAGTGGTATGACTGAATGTATTTTAAGGAACACTTGCTCAATCAATTATACTTGAGCTCCTTTATATAATTATTAATGTCTCCACTGAACCACCAGAGCCCATGGCTTTATAAATTTCCATGCTCTTGTTGGATCTACACTTGCATGTAGAGGCCAGAGTCACTGTGACCTGTTAAAACACCATCCTGCTGGTCCTCTCCTATGTTCTGAGATCCTTCTTCAGTAATTTTTTTCCTTTCACTGTAATCATTTGTTCAGTGACCCAGAGCAATGAACCCCATCCCCAAATTTAAGCTTTCCACTTGCCCCAGGACTCCATGGACACCAAGAATATACCCCTGATCATTTTGCCCACTCTGCAAGAACTGACAGTGTCCTACCCCCTGAACTGACATGCTGGGACTGCCTGGACTGAGAATGGCCTAGCCCCTGGACCATGTCTCCACAGTATCTAGGACGACCTACCCATAATTCCCTGACTGGTTACACTTGACCTGTAAGACCGAATGAAGCCCAGTCCCTGCACTGCAAGGACACAGATCTCCGAATGCTGGTCAGACCAAGCACCTAACTGACTGTGGCCAACTGAATCGGATGAGCCCATAAACTGAATGTGACTGTAACCCCTGACTGAGTGTAGTTCCCTTTGACCCCACTAAGGATTGCTCCCCTTTGACTCAGCTGTGGCCCTTTTCTCGCAGCACATGCAGTGTATTTGTCACATCCTGCAAGTTGCTGTCTTTGCCTTACCACACTGCAAGGCAGTGACTCTCTTACTCCCTTGATTAGACAGTGCTTTAAGTGCAGAGGCGGATGCAGACAACTTGTCACAATAGAGATCAAAATAAACAGCAGAGGCTGGCAGCCTCCAACCAAATGAGTGAAGGCAAAGAAAGTAAGCCAAGAGCCACAGAAATGTCCTATGCTAATGCATAGAATGCACGAGTGTTCCTGTGTGCAAAGTGATCTGGAAGAAAGTTGCAAGTCACAAGATTCTCTGAGCTACAAAGTCAGATGTTGAAGGGCTGAAGTGGCATGAGAAGTTGCTTTGAGAACAGTCATGATGCAGTGAGGCCGGTTGGTTTCCAATGCTGGCTTGGGTGGACAACATTTCAGGGGGAATGGTAGCCATGGAGCCTGCGAGAACCATGTGGTGCACCCTTAGTTAAATGGTGGCTGGTTTAATCATTTGGTGAGTTGCAGCTGCCAGGTTACTGCTCTGAATTTTACATCAGGGATTTAAGCCATCTAGGTTCTCGGGAAGAGAATTGTAAGTGATATGTAATTAAGCAAGTTGAGCTAATAATGATATGCAAATGCATGGAATAAAGTAGTTGCCCCTCGGTGAGATTCTGATGCCACCATGCCTTGGGCTGTTTTGTGTTGAGTGGTTTAGAGTTTCCTAAGTCTTGTTGTAGCTGCAGTCATCCAGGCAACTGTGTTCCGTCAAATTCATAACTTATGACTTGTAGATGGTGAACAGGCTTTGGGAAATCAGGAGCTGAGTTGTGCACAGTAGGATGCCCTTAGTCTAACCTGCTGTTGTAGCCACAATATTTATATAGCTGATCCAGTTTTGCTTCTGGTCAGTGGTAACCCCCAGGATGATAGTAGTGGGGGATTCCGCAATGGTAATGCCATTGAATGTGGATGGTTAGATTCTCCCTTGTTGGAAATGGCAATTTTCTGGTATTTGAGTGGTGCAAATGTTACTTCAACATTCCTTTAGCATTACTGAGGCCTGTGTTACGTAGAATAGCCAAATTATGGTAATGCTGATGGTAGTATCCTGTCAGAGCAAATCATCAGAAACATGTGACAAATATCTATTGAGTCTTAATTGAAGAGTGCCCTAGTGTTATTGAAAAGTGACAGTCCACAGCTTCCACAGTCAAGTAGCGTTTCTATGCTGCAACCTGTGGAACTAAGTATGTGCACTGTTACATGTTGACAAGCCTATTTTTCGATAAGGAAACTTCGTTAATTGTTAACCTGCCACTGACCTTTACTTAGTCACTGCAAATCAAACAGTAAAAATATTATTTCACTAAGTTGATGGAAAATAAATTGACGTAGCTGGGATCTTAATTCATTCTATTGCGTTTATAAGATATACTTGTTATAACTTGTAATGCAATCTCAATTTTTTTACAAAATACATTGCAGTATTCGTTCTTTGAAATCACTTCTCAATATCATTTCTTGGAGAATTAAATGTAATCAAACTTCAACCAAATAAATAAATTGCATGTTTACAAATTCCTCAAATTGATTATTTTGTCAAAACCCCCTCAAGACTGTTAACTGAATATGTAATTAGGGTGTTGTACAATCCTAAAGTGGATCATAAGTGTTAGTTTGTGCAGGTATCAAAATTTAGAAATTGTAATGCGAATACTTCAACAAACATTGTGACTTTGAGTATCAAGTATTCCTCTGTACTGTTAAACTCATAAAGGCAAATTTAATTCCTTTCCAGTAAAAGTTATTTGTCTGTGATTCCTAAGCCTCAGATTCCCTACAGTGCTGAAGGAGGCCATTAGGCCCATAGAGTCTGCACCTGCCCTCCGAAGAGCATTCCACCCAGAACCAGCCCACCTAGCCTACGCATCCCTGGACATCTTGGGGCAATTTACCATAGCCAGTCCACCTAACTTGCACATCTTGGACTGAGACGAAACCAGAATACAGGGAGGTAACCCAAGCAAAATATGCAAAGTCCACACAGAGTCGCCCAAAACTGGAATCAAACCAGCGTCCCTAGCACTAGGGCAGCAGCGCTAACCACTGCGCCAACAAATCATTGGGAACCATTAAATAATGTGATGGGTGGAGGGATATTAATTTGTGCCATTTGTTACTTACGAATTTGTACTTTTGGCAGAAAGTTGAAATTAAATAAACTTTTGCCAAGTATGTGTGTGCTGGATCCAATGTAGGGATCCAGTAGGTTTATCTTCAATTAAAACATAAGGTTAAAATATATTGTGAAGGGCTGGATGTTGAAATATAATATGAAGCATAAATTTCTCCTCCTCGCATGAAGTGAGAAAGATGACAAGAAGGGCAAGTAATTGGTCGAGTTGTCCCTGAACACAGAATTACCCCCGTAATAACTTCAAAGCTTAGCTGTCTCATTACCTTATAAAACAACAACTTAATACAACTTAAAACACTTATTTAACAAGTACACTGTCTCTGGTAAGGGAATACAACTCGGGGCACCCACATTGGCTATTTGTATCCCAGGGTAATGTTCAGTGGTATAGGCATAAGCCGACAAGAACAACATCCAATGTTGTATCCAGGCCAGTAGAATCACCTTATCCTCTTGGATCAGAAATTGGCTAGCTGTAAGAAGACAGAGGGTGGTGGTTGATGGGAAATGTTCATCCTGGAGTTCAGTTACTAGTGGTGTACCTCAAGGATCCGTTTTGGGGCCACTGCTGTTTGTCATTTTTATAAATGACCTGGATGAGGGCGTAGAAGGTTGGGTTAGTAAATTTGCGGATGACACCAAAGTTGGTGGAGTTGTGGATAGTGCGGAAGGATGTTGCAGGTTACAGAGGGACATAGATAAGCTGCAGAGCTGGGCTGAGAGGTGGCAAATGGAGTTTAATGCGGAAAAGTGTGAGGTGATTCACTTTGGAAGGAGTAACAGGAATACAGAGTACTGGGCTAATGGTAAGATTCTTGGTAGTGTGGATGAGCAGAAAGATCTCGGTGTCCATGTGCATAGATCACTGAAAGTTGCCACCCAGGTTGATAGCGTTGTTAAGAAGGTGTACTGTATGTTAGGTTTTATTGGTAGAGGGATTGAGTTTCGGAGCCATGAGGTCATGTTGCAGCTGTACAAAACTCTGGTGCGGCCGCACTTGGAGTATTGCGTACAGTTCTGGTCACCGCATTATAGGAAGGATGTGGAAGCATTGGAAAGGGTGCAGAGGAGATTTACCAGGATGTTGCCTGGTATGGAGGGAAGGTCTTATGAGGAAAGGCTGAGGGTCTTGAGGCTGTTTTCGTTAGAGAGAAGAAGGTTAAGAGGTGACTTGATAGAGACATACATGATGATCGGAAGATTAGATAGGGTGGACAGTGGGAGCCTTTTTCCTCGGATGGTGATGGCTAGCATGAGGGGACATAGCTTTAAATTGAGGGGTGATAGATATAGGACAGATGTCAGAGGTAGGTTCTTGACTCAGAGAGTAGTAAGGGCGTGGAATGCCCTGCCTGCAAAAATAGTAGACTCGCCAACTTTAAGGGCATTTAAATGGTCATTGGATAAACATATGGATGATAATGGAATAGTTTAGGTTAGATGGGCTTCAGATTCGTTTCACAGGTCGGCGCAACATCGAGGGCCGAAGGGCCTGTACTCCGCTGTAATGTTCTATGTTCTATGTTCTATGAATTGTGGTTTGCCATTAAAGTGAAATGAGCCCCATACAGATAATGATGGAACTTTTTGAAGCC